TAATTATATTTTAAGAACATTTTTTAACCATGCCCATCTTCCTCCCCCCAATCATCTTTTCAAAAATATGGACTGAACTATTTTACCGCCAGACTACCTTGTTTTAATGAATATATCTAATTGCAAAGTCGACTTACAAGCATAATTCGAGTTTTCTGTTGTTTTCCATCTGTTCGAAAATACTAAAGAAAGAGAAAAAAAAATCAATTATCAAATAAATTTTTAAATCCAGAAAACGTTATTGAAATAAATTTAAATATCTCACAGTTAAGAAGTCAATCCAATAAGTATAATCAGTATTTAGGTTGGAATGTGCTGATATCAATTTAGATTGACACAATTCTTGTTGAGGAATCAGAGAAGGAACGATTTGGATATTCATCACGCTTTCTATTGATATGTCTTCATTTATTTTCAATTTTTGAGAAATAATTTTCAAAGTTTCTTCCAATAAGGATCTGAAAAGAAGTTTTGTATACAATTAAATGCATTTATACTCCATGGCAAGTTGCAAAAAGGACCATTGTGGTATAAGATATAAGTAATCATCCGCGACAACATATAGTTCCGTTTTATTTCGTTATCAATTTTTCACAAATATGCTTTCAAAACAAATTAAAAGCTTTTAAATGTTAAACACGGCAGTCAAAACTTTAACTCATGCTATCTTTCAGGATATATAACACAGAGTTAAAAAGGTCATAATTTCGAAGTCTTACAGGAATCTTAGATTTGGCGACCTATTTCGTTAAGCAAGGAGAACGTTCGTTCTTGAATAAAGAAACAACTATATGACGCTGCAGGAGCATTGGATTTGATTGAACCACTAAAAATGACGCGTTTTGTGCTGACATGCTCTTAACCAATCAAATGTTTAAAGAATTTTTACTTTTGTTTCCCTGTTGAAGAAAATCGTCTGCAAGGAACAATATTTATTATTCTTTCATCAATTTCTTTAACTGCTAATAGGAAGACATGCATATGTCAGTGGCGTAGTTTTAATATTTGTTTGAGGGGGGTTTATCTCATTTCCCTTATATATACTGCAGAAGTTTAAATTGAAAAAAAAATGAATAATGAAAACTTTTCTTACGTCTACATTCTACTTACCATACAATAGCTCATTAATGAAGTAATGTATAATTTCCAATGAGGTTTTGTCCTCAAAACTATGCTACTGTTATTTGTTACGATTTTTAAATAAAATTTGCATTCATTCTTATTACTTGTTAATTGATTATTGTTGTTAATAAGAAAGAAAGATTAAAAGGAGGCTGTGCAACGTCGTTTCAAAAGTTGGTGATGCTGATATGCGCTCGCTCTGGGAACTTAGCATCCATTCAACCTTGCACTTAGATGCAAACAGGCTCTCTCCATAGGAATTAGAGTTTTTTTTTTTTACCTTGCAACAGAATAGAGAAAAAAGAATGATACTGCACACAAAGATTCATAATTGTCTAAATTTTCCAAATTTTAATTTCAAAATTTTTCAAAATTCACAAGTTAATTTGAAATTTTTAAGTTCTTCATATTAATACTTAGTATCCATCAGAGATTGGTTAGGTAAATATCGTGACGGTGTAAACTCTTTTAATAGATAGTTATTTGTATTCTGCCAACCGTCTACTGTCATATGAGATCTGGTTCTTTCGAACCATAATTCTGAAACTTTTTTGTTAAGAAAGAGCTCTGTTTACATACATTTAAATTTTCAATATTTGATAACAGTATTTACTCATGCAATTATCAAAACAGGGGCATAATAATCTCTCTCTAATAAACAATCGTAAGCGCCGCCGTCTATGTTTTGGATATAAACGAAAACTGTGTTACAGAATTTTCCAGAGTTACAATAAATAGGAAATATACAATAGAGAGGAAATCTATTGTACAAAGTTAAAATAAATAGGAAATATAATAATAAATAGGAAAGTGCACCACCACTTGCATATAAGTGTACTCGTTCGAGTATTTAACGTGAATGCAAAGTCTTTCTAAAGACGGAAGGGTCCAGAGCACAACAGCACATATCTGTCACTGGCCCAAGTGCACTTCAGATGCTCCTCTTGAAATCTTACATAGGGTTCGTACGGAGTGATACGTAAAACTGCGAAATTTCCCTAAATAGATTGTTTTACGTAAATATTTTTAAAAAAATTTTAGATGGTATTTATTTTTAATAATATTTACGCTTTTTATAGGAAAAAGTTTTTCAGTGCATTAGGTTGAAAATTAGAACTTGTTGTATTATAAATTAATGTCACCACGGACAACAGAAAATTAGGAACATTAAGACAACTTCTTTTAAATAGGAAGATCACTTAAACAGTTCATTTTTAGATCACGCATATAGGATAAATAGTATGTAGAAATTGGTCAAAAAATTTACAGATTTTCGCCATCTGCTCAAATTTGATTATTATCATAAGTTTTGGCTTTAAATAAAAATAACTGTTAAGCCGGATGTTTCAAAAATTACAGACGATTTGAAAAATAAATTAAGTAAAGATAGAAGGAGAAACACGATTTGCTGCGTTCTGCTTAGGATTTTTCATTACAAAATTAGTTATTAAGATCGATAATAGATGGCAATGCTTGTTGGGAATAGTAAAAAATCAATGTTTTTCTGCATGTCCGTCCGACCACTTTACCGGCAATTGAAATTTGTTCTTGTTTTGCTTTATAGTTTGCTGTTTTTGTTTAGCTTGATAATTTTGCTTGTTTTTGCTCTATAGTTTGTCTAGCAAGTGCCTTCTGTTGGCAAATTTTGAAACCATTCGAAACTAATTAGGAAGAAATTTAAGTAGTTTCTTAATAAGACCATAACAAACCATATTACTACATCTACTTTCGTTTTATTTCTATTATTTTTTTACATCATCGGTCATTTTTTAAAATTTTGAAGAATTCTTTAATTTTTTTCTAGTTTATGCTCCTGTAAAGATTATGGTGGCAACATTAAAGATAGAAAAAGTAATAAATTACCTAATGACTGGCATAGGTAATATTTTCTCTAAATGTTGATAATATTCTCCACTGGTCAACAGAATAGCATATTTTTGTGCGTCATCTTTCAAACTATTACTGAATTTTTGACCAAAAAAGAATCTGTGGGATAATTTGTTGATCAAAGGCACATCTTTTTCTAAAAAATATTCTTTTTCCTGTAAAAAAACAACAACATATACATATTCTTTTTTTTTTTGGTTTACGAACGAGGTTATACATATATATTTCAGTGGGTTTTTAATTGGTAAATTTTTTTGAAAATTTTACCTGTGCTTGTTTTATTATTTTCTTTTTTATAAATTGTAATACTTTTCATATTCTGAATCTATACTATACTGAATCTATTCATATTATGAATCTATACTTCTATACTATTTACTAAAATCATTTGGAATTTTACCATTTTTATCTTCTCTTCTTCGAATGCAATGGAATCTTCATCAACTTGACTAGAGTGATTCGTTATATTTTTAATCAGCTTTTTTTTAGTTATACGAATAGGTGCAATGTTAACTGTATTTCTGGAAAATAAAGTCAATAAGTAATAAATAGAATATTCAAAGTACATTTCAACGATTACAATCAATATACACCCTTGTGCAAATTAATTGAAACAAACTTTTTTTTCGTGTTTTTTAAAGAAGATGTTTTGGGGTTGTTTCGGTTACAATGGGGTTGGACCTTTGCAGCCTATTGACGGTATGATGCGTTCTGAGCAGTACATTACTATTCTTGGTAAAAAAGTTGTTCCAGAATTGAAGAAACGATACCCTGATGGAACAGGGATTTTTCAACAGGATTTAGCTCCTTGCCATACGTCCAAAATTATCAAGAAATTCATGTCTGAGAATCAAATTGAGATATTGGAATGGCCAGGGAACTCTCCGGATATCAACCCAATTCAGAATCTCTGGGCCATATGCAAGAATCGCCTATTAAATATGGACTGTACAACTATGGAGAAGCTAATCACGGCGTTAATTCATGTGTGGTACAAGGACACAAATATTATAAATCACTGTAAAAAATTAGTGGAATCCATGCCGAATCGTGTCCAAATGTTAATAAAGTGTCGTGGAGATCATATTATGTACTAAAAATTTTTGAGTTTTTATAAATTTAAATAAAATAGCATTTTCTCTTAGTTTTCTGAATTTATTGAGTTTGTTTCAATTAATTTGCACAAGGGTGTAGGCTAGTCATAATTATAAAAAAATGTTCAAATTTGAAAATAATAGACGAAAGAAATAGAAATGTTTCCGCACAACTTTTATTAATAATTGTTCAGAACGCACGAAAGTTTCTGCCTACAAATAAACTCTATTTTGATTGTTTTATGTTTATTATTGTTATAGGTAGCAATTAGAGATGTACCGGGTTCTTAAAATTTTGTCTGTTCATAGTACCCGGTGATATTTGAATTTTCTACCCGACTGGTTCTAGGTACCCAGCAAAAATTTTAATTGTTACATGGCCAAATTCGGATAGCCTATAAAATTTATATTTTTTACCCGGTGGAGTATTAACATCTATGTCAAACAGTGTAAAAATCATATAATTTTCTATCGAACGAATAATTCACACGATAAAATTCCAAGGAGATTTATTGGGTGTTTAGATATATAAAAGCGTGTTTTTTTAAAGAAAAAAAACTAAATGAAATTTGTGATTACGTTTCAGATCTGGAATGATTAACATAAATCTTAGTGGGTGGTATGATGTGGAGACATACTATATGCTAATAGTGGACTTCATAATTAATTAATTTTTCATTCGCTTTATATTATTTATTAATGATAATTGCAGCTTCTGTAAACTATAGGATATGCCAGAAGATAAAAAGGCGATATTTTAAACGAAAAATGTTTTAACTATCAGGGCTTAAGTTCTTTTTAATCATCCGATAATTGTAACATAATTTACGTACTATGATAGCTATCTTAAGTACAATCTCTTAAATTTTTCGATTTGATACTCGGTACTCATTGTTAAACTGTACTCCAATATCAGGGTAATATAGAAGATTCATATAGTGTTTTTGCAATTCTTATTGTTGATCTATATCATAGTAATTTTGAATCTCCTAAGGATAAATTAAAACAATTAATAAAGGGCAAATTTGCTTTCATGAATAACATTTTCAGTGAAACTAATGCGTTATTACGTTACACGGTAAAAAAAAGAAAAGAAAAAAATGTAAATGGAGTCCCTCCGCGCGGAATAAGTTAAACATCGTAACCTGCGACGTTAATTGTAGAAGA